GGAGCCCCAGCTCCCCGCCGAGCCGCCGATGGTCCTAGGCAGGCTCCTGACAGTGCTGGGCTCGGTGGCAGCGCTGACCCTGCTGCAGAGCTCCCTGAAGTTGCGCCGGAGCCTCCTCGTCTTGGTCTTCTGCTCACCAGCCTTCACTCGCTCCCCCCAGCCCTTAGACCGCTGCTGGCCGGCTTGGTCGGGGTGGCAGGCTGCCTCCTGGCACTCTGTGGCGTGGACCACGGCATCTTCTCGGCTCAGAGCCGAGGAGCGCACCACCAGCATCATCACCGCCCACGGCTCCCCAGCGTGGAGGAAAAAGTGCCTGTGATCAGACCCAGGAGGAGATCTAGCTGCGTATCCTTAGGGGAAACTTCGGCCAGCTACTACGGCAGCTGCAAAATGTTTAGGAGACCCTCGTTGCCTTGCATTTCCAGAGAGCAGGTAGGTTTCTCTGAAACCGGAGGGAGAAACTTTTTGAGGAGCGAGCGCCACTCGCTTTTCCTAACTGCCGTAAATGTCTGTGCTGGGTGTCTGCTGTCAAACCCCCCCTTACAGGAGTGAGGGAAAACGTTAGTCCCTTAGCGGGTTTCTCAGCTCGGTTCTGCAGCATCGATATAATCCTTTATGTCTGTATAGAAGCTAAATAATAATAACATGTTTGCTGCAGGACAGAAGGCTCGATCGCTTTTCATAGGATCTTAAATATTAAAAAGTAGTTCTTACTGGTTAAAACAAAACCCCAAACCAAACATCTTCAGCTATCAGCTACCTTGTTCTTTTTATTGCTTCTTTTCCAAAGCCCACCACCTCCTCCGCTTCTGGCAGACTTTATGAGAGACAGAAACCACAGATTTCTAGCTGCTCGGCACCTCTGGTTCTTCCTTCTTTCTATCAACAAAATGATTGCCAAGTGCTAAAGAAATATCAGGTTTTGAGGAATTGTATTTATCAAATGGAGTGCCAGCTGTCCTTCTGCCTTGCAGATTACTTCCTCTTGTTTCTCTCTCCCTCTCCTCCTCGCTCCACGTAAGTTAACATTAAGTTTGGGTTGATGGGATTTGAGAAACTTCTTTTTACTGAAGAGAGAGCTGTTCAGTGGAGTCTGGAGGGCTGCCCGAAACGCTCAGTTTTCTTGAATGGAACTCTGTTGGTTTCTACCTCCCGGAAAACTTTTCAATGCGTCTTATTTTCTGTAGCGCAAACCTCCGCGTGGGCGGCGGGTGTTTTTATTCGGGAACTTGCAGGTGAGCTGCAGGAGCTCCGGGTCGTGTTGCCGGTGGAACTGGCCCGAGGCCGCTGCCAGCGGATCGTCAGCCCGTTATAGCAGGGAGAGCCAGGGGAGCATTCAGTCAGCGTGCCAGTGAACACTTCTGGGAAGTGGTTCTTGGTGCCGGATCCCCCATCTACTGCTGTGGCTGCCGAAGTTCGTGGGTACTAAATGCAATTTTCTTATTTTGCTTTGACATATATTCCGTAATGCACTCCTTGTGACTGACTGTGAAATAGGTTTGAGGAAATACGAGGTGAATCGCAAACGGTGCAGCAGTTTTCGAGCGTTTCTTTCTCTGCATTTGCACAATAGAATAATACAGCGGTAATTGTTTTTGCATAAAAAGTTAAAATGCAGGTGTGCTGTAACAGGCTTCAGAAAGAACTCATTCAGTCAGTTTTAAATTGTCTAATGCATACTATGAAAGAAACATTAAAATATTGCACTAGCAGTTATGTAGGGAATATTGTATAATAATTTACTTTCTCTGTTCCCTTCGGGATAGTAAATGCTTGCTTCGCTCACGTTCGTCTACAAAAACCTCAGAAAATGTGGTTTCATTAACCTTTCTAGATGATAGAAGATATTTGTTCTTGTGCAAGTTACTAAATGCTTCCTTTGATATTCAGCTCGCTTCCTAAAGGCATGCATGTATTTAGAGTTAAGGCATTTATTATTCTTTAAGTAACATCATAAATGTCAACCATAACTAAATGCATAGAATTTATTGGCAGGACTTAAATCATGCGTGTTCGTAATGAAATGTAACTGTTTGGTAGACTTCCAGAATTTGATATCTTTGTTATCACTAGACGTGAACAGAGACAACAAAGAGCTCTGAAGTTCTTTGTTTTCCGAATAGTCTATTATGCTTTACAATAAATATTTGTGCTTTATTAAGCACCGTTTAAATGGGATTCATAGATGTATGTTCTGTGCAGTATTTTATATGTGATTTTATAAGGATAACACAGGTTAAATCCTCCGATCTGTCAGACTTGGAGAGAGATCAGACATTGCAGAGCTGATAAAACATCAATTATTTGGGTAGGAGGAGGGGGCAGAAGTAAGCCCATAATGTGTGACTTGATTTGAATAAACACTGCACGGGTTTTGTATTGCTTCCTTGAGGCAGAAGGAATGTATGCACCTCGTGCTTTTCAGAGAGCACGTATGTGAATTTTCTTTAAGGACTGATTACATGTTTTGTAGATCTTTATAAAATATTGTAATGATTCTTTTCCGATATTAATTTTTTAAGAGCGAGTTTAATGAGCATTCTTAGAAGGAGCAGTGGAGTACAAGGAATGTGCTGCAGGTCTGCCATGACAGGAATACTTTGGATGACAACAAAGTTGCTATTTTGATTCTATTAGATGTATTTCATATGATTGTTATGGACCTCTTGTATGTAGAGGTTTGCACGAACTTCCGCAAGCAGGGGCACATAAGAATAAAGAAGGCAGATGTGTTGAATATTAGAATACCAGGTTGGAAGGGACCTCAAGGATCATCTAATACAACCTTTTTGGCAAAAGCGTGGTCTAGACAAGATGGCCCAGCACGCTGTCCACGTTTAGCACCCTGAATCTTAAAAGTGTCCTGTGTTGGGGAGTTCCCTGGCGAGATTATTACAATGACTGATTGTTCTCGTTGTGAAAACTTGTTCTCTTGTGTATATTTTAGTTACTCTCTGAGGACAATAGGGAATGCTAGTATTGACCTGAAGTTTTCAGTTACTTGTTGATTTGAAAATATGCCTGACTCTGGTTAAATACATGAGAAAATAATTACATACAGTTGGCTGTTTTTTCATTAATAGGCTTAAGCCAACAATTCTAAGGGGTCTGTGTGCATGGAGAGTGTGTGTGGGGGAGCAGGTACGTACCACCAGTAGCATGTGCACATTGTAATTGCATGGAGCTATCACTTTTCTGGGGCAGAAGTGGAAAGAGGCCCTGTGAGCAAGATCCTGGAAATGGTTTCTAATTTGAGCAATCATTAGGACAAATACTTCGATTATTGTTTTCTGTACTTGAACAGGTATGGCAACTAGGAGGCTAGAAGGTTGATCAAAATTAATTACCTTTATTCTTACCTTTTATATGAGTGTCCGTGCTTACTTTAGCCACCAAAATCTACAAATTCACGCTGTGTGGCTTTTCTGCAGTACATATGGCTAGCGATGTAGTTTGCTTGAATAGATTATATGTTTAAATTTTTATGTGACTACACTTAAATGCCATTATCAAAATATATAAATACACATAGAAGGAAGCAATATGGCTAAAATTAAGGCTAAAATTGTGCAAATGCAATGTCTTTTCTGAACTCTACTGTATTAACACTTCTGCTCACAGAAATTCATATGATTTTTAGCAGTAAACAGGCTTTTTGTATTCTTACTTCAGTATTCGTCTTGGACCTAGAGAGGAATTCTTTATTAGCAGTATCACTGCAGTGTTGATTTAGATTACAAATTTTGTGTGGATGATATTTTAATTGCATGTATTAGATGCTGATTTGTTATCTGTACTTACTGTTACTGGTATCAAAGGGTTTATCTTCAAGGGCCTCTTGCATGTTTAGCACTTAATTATTTTTATTTTTTTTCCCACATGATAGCCAAATCTGAATTTGGAATCTAAAAGGTGCTTGTCACTGTTGCAGATCTTGTAAACGTTCTATGTCCTGAAAAATGTTGTAGTAAACCTTTTTTTTCCTTTAACATGATGGTGGACATGTATATGAGAGCAAATAACTGTGTAGGAACTCATACATAGGATAGTCTCAGAATCAAAAAAGATTATGTGATTTCTAAAACTCATATTTTTCCTTGAGTAAAGAATAGGCCTTCCTAATTAATTTTACAGGATATAAGTTCAAAACAGTCTGCAGAGCTGATACTTTTCCTAGTTACCTGACTAGGTTCAAACATGTAGGAAGGCTGGGATATTTCATGGATAAAGACTGCTTTCACGTTGCACTCTGTTAATTACAGAAAGACTTGTCTTGTTGTTAGGTTGATGGACTGACCATCACCACTCCCCAGTTCCTGTTCCAAGCTATCTTGTACCTTTGATGCATTCCCTTAGGAAGACCAAGACTTGATTTCAAGAGTCTAAAATATTTATATAACTTGAAATTAATGCAGTTCCTTATCTGCTTAGACAATTTATATCTGTGTCTTTTACCTGTTTGTGAAAGAAATTATACTTTGTCCTTAAGTACTCAGGGTATAAAATTTCTAGTGAAGAAGCTGTCTGTTAATATGTATTTTACAGTGTCATAAAATTGTATTGTAAATTGTAAATTCAGATGCTGTGTGCAGCCTGGAAACATGTAAGCCTTTACCTGTTGATTGCAGCCATGACATAGAAAGTAACTTCTTGATATGCATTTGACTAGCTCTTTGAAATTTTAATGTTTTCCATAATGATTACAGTGACTGTTACCACAAGTGTACCTGCATGTCAAGATTTCTGTCTGTTGTTAACAGAATCTTTGTATTTCTTGGTGTTTTGTTGTTTGTCTTATGGGGAAAATCAAGGCAGAAGTGTGGGTGTGTTGAGCTGTGAATGTAATCAGTTTCAACGGGATGCAACTGAGTGTGGGGCATATACAAAAAGAAAGTCTACGTGGTGAAAGCAAGAGTCTTGGAAAAGTGTTTTTGCGACCATATTTCAGATAGGTAGGATCATATTGTTTCTGTCTGATTCTCTCACTTTGACAAAATGTTTAGCTCTAGATGGAATGTGAAATGAGAAGACGCTCGGTAAGAGTTGCGTCCTTTTTTATTTTCTTTCTTTCTTTTCATCCTGAAACTATGTTCTTGAAGTATTATAGCATTCAGAAAGGATGATTTGAGCATGGTCTGCCGATAGAGACCTGTAGGGAGGTCAGAGTTTAAGATGGTATCCTCTGGCAAAGTGACCACTAGGACCATACAGTGGTTCGCAGAGAATGACAAAGAATGCTATGAGGCAGACTGAGTGCAGTTCAGAACTCCCATTAGCTGAGTTTACCTTAAGCTGGTTTTTAATATCCAAGACAGGGTGGCAGTGCATGTTCTGGACAGAAGTAGTACAATAAAGCAGGGAAACGTGTGCAAGTGGTGAGTGTAGCAAAGTGGGTTGACTGTTTCTGCAGGTGTGGCTTCCTGGAAAGAAAA